TTCTATCTAGAAACGGAAAATGGGTAAAATTGTAAAACATAGAATCAAAGCGTAAAAGCGTAAGTTTTTGACGCACCCTCTAAAATAACTAAAAATATGTTAAGTACAACATATAGTATATAAAATGTGAGTGTAGATTTTAGATAAGTGAATAACTATATGAAATTCATAATTTAAATGTAATATCTAACACAAACTAATTTGTGTTGACTCAAAAGTAGAGAAAACTCATAACATCTTAATAATAAGCTCATAAACGTAGATCGTAACCCGTAAACGAGCTTGAGAATCCAAATTCTCATAAGCTGGTTTTAGTTTACATAATTACATACGATCAATTACCCATAAACTTTTATCATAACCCAGGTAAGAGCCACAAGTGAAGATTAAGGGAGAAGACTGATAGAAGGTCAGCGGTTGTTGAGAATACCATTAGGTGTCTTTTCAACCTAATGTGAAGCCCCTATCTCGATACTAGTTGTAGAGCGAGTGATGAATCATGTTTTCCTTTTCTTATTTTTTTGCTGATATGTCTCCAAAATTACATCATTTTGGGCCAATTAGCACATTTTTATGAGATTATCAAAATCGTATAAAAATGCATCAGAATCGCGAATTTACCGATTTTAAGCGATTTTACCGATTTTAAGCGATTTTACCAGTTTTTGTGACAAAGCGACTTTAGGTAGAAACTGAAACGTTTTGGTGGCCTGGATACGTAAAAACGTAAGTTTTTACCTTTTAATGTGTGATTTTGACTGCACTGGAAAGGAATAGAGGGGGCAGAAATAAGAGAAATGATCAACATTCTTGATGGGTCGTTGGGGATCCGGTTTTCGGGCCGAGAAAGTATCCGAGCAGCCCACATCCTGGCCCATATACAGTGTGAGTGGGAAGAAACCGAAATTTAGACCTCTAGGCCATCCATTTTTCTTATGAACCAACTCATTTATGATTCCTGTAATATTTCGTTTTAATGAAATAATACAGGCTTTCTATTAAAAACAATGTTCGCTTACTAGCAACAAAATTTTTATAATACTCAACAAGGGATTATTTGGTCAGTGAATTAATTAAACCACATACGTACGTACATTAGGCAATAATATAATTGTTGACAAAACCTATGTGCCCTCTCACCCAGCAAACAAAGATATCGGACCAAAATGTTTGCCATACAAAAAAAATCAACATTTTGTGAAACTATGCCAGTAGTTATATCGAATAAGTTAGTAATAGCATATTTTGTACTAAAATCGTGGTTCAACCGTTTTGTATTGATAAAATCGCCTACCGTTTAGAGTCCAATATCCGATATTCCGGTCGGATCGAGTGGTATGGTAGGTTACTAAACCATGATAAAAATACTCATAAACATGGAATATCCTGATAAAATCGTCTACCGTATAGAGTCCAATATCCGATATTTCCAGTCGGATCGAGTGGTACGGTAGGGTTACTAAAACATGATAAAAATACTCATAAACATGGAATATCCATCAATACAATTCTAATTCTAGACATACGATCAATTGACAACTGATTTATCGATAGACCACTCTCGTTCTCTCTTATTGACAACTAGTATTATTATCTTTTTTGTCAGAAATAATGATCTTTAAGGAGACCTCCCTCATGATTGTCTTTACGAAGGGTACATTTCATTTCTTTTATAAGAGTTCATTAGTTTCATACTCCCCTTTTGAGTTGTCATTAACCAATACTTACCAAATTATATTATAATAATAATTAGAATGATAATAGTAATAATAAAGCACATTTTAAATGCCATCATTGCATGAAACGTGGCCCTGCCCTCACCATTAATATTCCCATTCCAAACAGAAGCCCGCAGTTCTGGGCTTTTTCTCGCTCAAATGCTCCCTCCGGTGCGCCGGAGCTGCACCGGAACGTTGCCGGAGTGGGTAAAAGAATTAGATGAGGAGGCAAAAGCCGGACACTAGAGATGTGGCCTCCTCTTTGGTGGCTGCCGGGGTTCTGAAAAGTGGGCCCATTGGGCCTCTCTCATTTGCATTTTTCCCCACCATAATTTCGTCACATCATCGCATCTTTACTACATGTGACATAGAAACAAAAAAAAATAATATAAGAGGAACATGATTAATAATATAATAATATGATGAATTTTGCCTGAATTTGACCAATATTGGCTTCCTTTTAAATTTTAATCACCATATTTGGATCAAGTTCATGACTACTAAATGAAAACTAAGAAAGTACTCAAGAAAGCAAACTAGCCATAAAGTTGGACTATTATTAATTTTATAATTATATATTAGCTTGTGTGTCCTTTATGGTATAAACTAGGTTATTCTCTCTAGGCAAACAAACATAAACAATCACTTCTTTTTCATTATACATCGTCTGCATCATGGTCGGCTAGTTGGGACGAAATCGATTCCAAAAAAAAAGTTGTTTGTAAGTTAAAATACATTTATTCAGAAATTTTATTTAGGGGTACTGTTTTATTTCTAAGATAAAATAAAAAATCTTAAAAAAAGAAAATATCCGACTAATATAAGTTACTATGTCATACCACGATGTGTTTTCATTATTTCAGATATGAAAAAAATGCATCGAGTGTCTACAATGCTCAACAAATCTCTTTCAGTATATCCTACAAGACAATTATTCAGGAGCTGATCACCTATTCCATTCCGAGAATTTTTTTTTATGCAAACGTGAAATGGCTCATTAAACTACGCCCGGGAGATCGATATTTTTTCTCCAAGACTTAGGGGGTGTTCCAAGATATGCTTTGGTCAGACGCCCCCTTTACCTAATTTCATACTAGATAGTTTTTTGAATTATTATTGCATTTATGTTGAGTCATTACAACAAATGAACTTTAGTCTATTGGTAAACATGTTCATTAATAACAAGAGTGTCATTTGTTTGAATCACAAGAACAATCATATTTTTTCCTTTTTCTTAGACTCAAACTACGACCAAAAGATAGATATTTTTTCCTTCAAATTTTATTGGCGTATAGATATGCTTTGGATCCACCCATAACTATCAAATTTTCTCCCTTTTTTAAGACTTAAACCACTGACAGGAGATCGAAATTTTCTCTCATAAATATGCTTTGGGACTGCCCTGCCTTTATCTAATTCCATATTTGATAGTTTTTTGAATTATAACTGCATTTATGTTTGAATTATTATAACAAATGAACTATAGTCTAATGTAAACAAACTAATACCAAAAGATAGATATTTTTTCCTTCAAATTTTATTGGCGCATAGATGTGCTTTGGATCCACCCATAACTATCAAATTTTCTCCCTTTTTTAAGACTCAAACCACTGACAGGAGATCAAAATTTTCTCTCATAAATATGCTTTGGGAGTTGGGACTGCCCTGCCTTTATCTAATTCCATATTTGATAGTTTTTTGGATTATAACTGTTTTGAATTATTATAACAAATGAACTATAGTCTAATGTAAACATGTCCATTAATGGCAAAATACACTTGTATAGCCAAAACTTTGACGATTTGGCCAAATATAGCCACTTTTGGCGAAATACCAAAAATAACAACTTCCGTCTAATTGTTTGACGGCGTCAAATAACAGGCTGACTGGACTAACGACATTGCTAAGTTGGCAACAATTAGTCAATAAAAATATAAGATAGAAAATAAAAATAAATTAAATAAATATTTTTTATTTTCTCTCTCCCATCTATCTTCTTCCCCATCCCTTCTCGGCCAAAACTCTCTATTCTTCAAACTGTCTCTATTCTTCCATCACCACTGGATTCTTGTCGGAGCTCTTCTCCTACTCTCTCCACCTCACACCACTCACCCTGCCGACACTGCTTGTTGGAGAGTTGGATTTTTCTGGGTTTTTCCTCGTCATTGTTGCGCACCGGCATCGACCCGGCGAAGTATTTTTGGCAGAAGAAGCAGCGCGCCTTCCGGTTCTTGCGCCATTAGGAAGACAGTCTCGATTGTACCGCATGGTTGGAGGGCGGCGTAAAGCGGAGATCTAGGGTTTTAGACTGGCAGTGATAAAGGGGAGACAAGCTCTGGGTTTGGCGGATTGTGGGAAGGAACGAGAGTAAAAATAGAACAAATTCAGAAGAAGAGTTTGGTTATAGATGGTGGCGGTGGGTGGTATAGATCTGAGACGAGACAAGTGCTCTCTCTCTCTCTCTCTCTCTCTCTCTCTCAAATTGGGCATTTTTGAAGAACCAGCAGATTAAATGTTGTTCGGGAGTGGGAACAGGGAACTAAAAGAGAAATCAAAATTGAGTTGGAGTTGGAGAGAAGGGCTGACCACCGTCGCCATCGAGTGGTGGGAGAGGGGGGAGGATAGTGAAAATATTTTATGATTTTTTATTTATTTTTAAATTAATATATGACATGACATTCATGTGGAAGTATTGTTGAGTTGTCGATGATGTGTCCAGTGAGTTGGCAACCATGTAAGCGTTCTGTTAATTTGACTAACGGTGTTACTAACATCATCAAATTATGTAACGAAAATGGCTATATTTGTCATCAAAATTTCAAAATTCAGGCTATTATTGGTATTTCTCCAAAAGTGACTATTACTGTGACAAACGTCAAAGTTTTGGCTACACAGATAAATTTTTCCTTCATTAATAACAAAAGTGTCACCGGTTTAAATATCATGAACTATCGCATATCCCCTCGCCCCCCCCCCCTCTCCTCCCTTTTCTAGACTCAACCTACTATCGGGGATCAACATTTTATTCTTCAAAATTTAGGAGTGTCTAGATATGCTTTGTATCCGCCTCTGACTATTCCCTTTTTTTCTGGCTAAATCACACGTTTGGTCACTCAAATTATACAAATCTTTCACGTTTGCCACCCAAATTATTTTTCTTTCTTACTCGCCACTAACTTTCCGAAATGTTTCACTGTTAGTCATCGGCCGTTACACTCTGTTAAATTTGTCCTACGTGGCAGTCAACTATAAAGTTTGACCATTAACTAGATGACGTGGAAATTAAAAAAATAATTTATTTTTCAACCTCATCATTCCACTTGCTTTGGGTATATGATATATCATTTTATTTATTTAATAAAAATTAATTAAATTAAAAAATGATTAATTTGCCACCCTCGTCGTTAATTCGCAATCCCTCGACGGTGGCGGCTTCCAGGTGTTGTAGCGACGAGGAGAGGGAGTGGAAGAGGCCCTGCGCCCGCCCTTCCACCGCGCAGCCGATTTCGGAAGGGTTTGAGTCCGGGACCCACGAGAATCGCGTCAGGTGGGCGGCGTACCCGTCTGGGGGAAGCATGTGGAGACGTGGAGAGTGGATGACGATGACGGTGGTACTGGTGGAGACGGCAATCGCGGCGGATTGGAGAGGAAGAGTTGCGCCGTCGTCAAAATCGCATCAATCATGGACGGAATCTGGAGGTGGAAATCGATCTGATTATCATGATGATGATTATTCGCGTTATCCTTGGAAGAAGAATCTCCGCCGCCGCCGTATCAGCCGTTGGTTGAGGGATGGTGGTGGTCTAGCAAGTGGACAGAGGCGAGGACAGGCGGTCCGCTTGTGAGAGCGAAATTGATCGGTCTTGGTATTGTTCTTTCTTTACTGGTTCCTTATTGACACACTAAAACACAACACCTAACAATGGCCAAGTGTAACCAATGAAAGGGACTGCAGTATAGTGGTTCAAGTAATAAATATCAAATCCACGGGTCTCTAGAGGTACTATTACTCAGCTTCAGTTCATTATCTAGCAAACCAGATTAAGATAGAAGAACTAAAACTACTCTAACAAACTACAGTTAAAGTTAATCTAATTACAGGTTGGGAACTCACTTAGGTATGATTCCCACTAGCCCCTAGCCAGATTGATGATTGATGATCTCTAACTTGTTTCACTTTCATTCACAATGCGGAAAATCCTTGACTAGACCTTGAGTCTCGACTAAAGGAACAAGGCCCACTTGAGTCAATTGCCTAGAGGGATGTATCCTTCTCTAGAACAACCGATCAAGGCGTTCTGAACTAGACTCCCTCTATCGAAAGAGGTTCTCAATCGATACAAAGCAGTGAATCAACCCTTGACTAAAGCAATCGATCCACTACTATCAAACTATGGTGCTCTATTGACCTAATCAGGTATTCGCTCTCATAGGATCAAAGCAGAATCATTAATCTCGACTAAAGCAGAATTGAATCATGAAAACGTGCATAGATTGAATATGAACTCAAGATTATCAAGTAAGAGTACTCGTACAATCATCCAATCATCCAATCAAACAAACATAGCTAGGGTTTCTCAAAACCTAAGTGAAGGGAAGTTACTCCATAGAGAAGAGAGAGAGAGACTGCAGTAAGAATTTTCAGATGATCAGTCTTCAAGTCCGGGCTTGTTCTTCGAGCTTCCAAGGCGAAGAAATCCTCCGATTCCACTCCAAGAATACCCTCAAATCGCCCCCTCTCTCTTTTTGGTTTGTCCCTTGGGTGTTTCGGATCCAAAACCCAGCTCTCCCTTTCTTTTGGCTTCAATCTGCCTCAAAAACTCAATTCTGGGCAAAACACGGTCGAGGACACGGTCGTGTTTTACTTTTGCCCGCCCGTGTTTTGCCTCCAGCAGCCCTCGTCGGCCAAAACACGGTCGTGCCTAAATATGGACACAACCATGTTTTTCTTTAGGCCAGCCCGTGTTTATACTGCCGAACCTGTTCCCCTATATTCAATGCTTCGTTTCTCCCTCGTCCGGACTCCGAATCAGCCGCCGTTTGATCCCAGACGCTTGTAGTCTCATCCTATTTCTTTTCATGACAAGCTTGCATGATTATTTGTCCATAAAGTGAGGTAGAAATCCATTCTTCTTCAGGTCATGCCCGAGTTTCTTCTCCCTAATTGCCAATTGATCTCTGATTGACTTGAAACTTGAGCCTATGCTTCACTTTATGTGCTAGGACCTGAAATGTGACAAAGGAACACAACCTAGCATAAAATAGGCCAAAGACGCGATAATTAAAGCTCAAACAGTCAAGAAACAAAGGGGAAAATGTGTGCAAATATCGAGTCATCAAATCCCCCCACACTTAACTGTTTTCTTGTTCCCAAGCAAACCTGACTCAAACCAATGCAACTCTCCAGACCTCGATGGCAACAAACAACCCCGAACGTCGGTAGAGGACTTTCTAGATCATAAAGCAACTTACGAATCATTTTTCACTTTATTTCACTTTATTTCAACGTTGGAACCCCTTTTTCACTTTCATTTTACTTTTTTTTTCTTTCTCATTCACTTTGCGGGGGTTCCAACTGCAGCCTTTTGCACGGTCGACCCTTATTAGTTGAGCAAGAGCAATTTCTATACATCTGGCGCTTGCCAGAGTATTTCTCTTAACTCCTTTTCCTCAACTCGTGTGAAGGGTCAATGAAATTAAGGGGGGTCGGAAGCTCTATCCGTGCCCTTAAAAACACATCCTCAAGTAGGCAAACCGTTCAACGGATGGAAGTTTTACTTGTACTAGAGACAGCTTAGTTTCACCTTGTAGGAGTGCCCCACTAAGGATCACTAAAATCTCCTCCAAAACCCAATTTTGTGCAATGAACGGTGCCACACACGTTGGGCTTACCCCATGTTTAAGATTTAATGGTTTCTACATGGACGACCAACTGCTTTTCATTTTTCACATGAGCACCCTGTTCGATACACGAGTCCATAACACAATTCAAACAGAGTCACCATTACCACATGAATTCGACGGTCATAGCTCCACTAACTCACAAAATCAACTGGCACAGTAGAGAGCTAGATAGGAAAAATCTTATACTTCAACATCCTCCATAGTGCTACACTACCTCCCTAGGTTGCACATTACTATAGAGACTATCAATTCAAAGCATACTGAGTAGGCAATTTGCAAGGAAACACGTACTTGGAGCCCTCAAATTTAAAAATTTGGACAGTGGACTAGGCTCCAAGCACACAAACAGCCAAACATTCACTCGCATACATAATCGAACATCCCCCCACACTTAAGCACGACATTGTCCTCAATGGAGGAAAGATAAGGAGGGTAGAACGAAGTTACTAGATCAAGGGTGAATGATGGTGGATGGGGCAGGCGGTGCATTCTAGGAGGAGAGAGTAGTCGGAACACAAATACCACACAAAATCTCACAAAGGTTGAGTTATTGACTCTAAAATCAAATAACAAAACTGACTCAACCGAGGAGAAAAAGGGAAAGAAATGCAAACCGACTGGTTGGTTGCCTCCCAACAAGCGCTTCTTTCACGTCGTGAGCCGGACGATGGCTCCTAAGTTTCGGTCCACCCCAAAACCTCTTTGAAGTTGAGGTTCTCGTCGATGAGGTGGAGTCTCAAGTCACGAGCATGTGGTATGACAGTTGATGGAAGCTTGTGCACTTGATGCAGATGAAGTCAAGTCTCTTTGAACTTGTGCACATTGTCCTCAATCGAGGAAAGATAAGGAGGGTAGAACGAAGTTACTAGATCAAGGGTGAATGATGGTGGATGGGGCAGGCGGTGCATTCTAGGAGGAGAGAGTAGTCGGAACACAAATACCACACAAAATCTCACAAAGGTTGAGTTATTGACTCTAAAATCAAATAACAAAACTGACTCAACCGAGGAGAAAAAGGGAAAGAAATGCAAACCGACTGGTTGGGTTGCCTCCCAACAAGCGCTTCTTTCACGTCGTGAGCCGGACGATGGCTCCTAAGTTTCGGTCCACCCCAGAACCTCTTTGAAGTTGAGGTTCTCGTCGATGAGGTGGAGTCTCAAGTCACGAGCATGTGGTATGACAGTTGATGGAAGCTTGTGCACTTGATGCAGATGAAGTCTCCACCCTCGAGACCTCTTCTTCTCTTCTCTCGTCTCATTGCCCCAAACCAGATATGACAACATCGATTGACCACCATCGTGTCCACCAAGAGGGACCGATGTCGATGTGGCCTTGGTCTGGCAAAGAGACACTGCAAATGGGTCCTTGCTAAGCAGTTCCTCAAAGTTTGGTGGAGAGATCACATGTAACTCATGGCCGGTGCAGGCCTCTTCCACCTCAACTTCGTCCTCGTCCCGGACGCCAATTGCTTCTTCAACCTCCCTTCCTTCTTCGTGTGGTATCACCCCTGGGAAATGATTAAGAACTCCTTCTGCTTCTCTTTCGTCATCCTCTACAATTTCTTTCTGCACCCTTTCTTGCTCTTCTTCTTCCAGCACGGATTGGAGAGCAAGTTGCCAAGCAATTCCCTTCATGAGATCTTCTTGCATCTCCTCACTCATGCCCGCCTCTTCAAAGCTCAGTTTGGGATGTGGGAAGGTGTGGTCGGCTACGACAGGACATTCCTGATCATGATCATCACGAGAGCTCTCCGTGACAACTTCAGTGTGCTCCACAATGTCCTTGTGGCCTTCTTCTTCCTCCACCTCTTCTAGTATGGTAGCAGAAGGGTGATCTAGAGCAGGTTGTGCATAAGATCGCTCAAGATCAATCGACGCTCTTCTTAATGTTCAGGAGGATCTCCTCTGTTTCACGATAGGCCTGGGTACAAAGATCCATCCTGGACCATGATCTCTCACTGTCTCGAGCAAACTGCTCCATGAGAAGCCTCAATTCAAAGTTTGGATCTGGCTGTGGAGTGTAACATGGCTCTGCAGAATGGCCCGTGAAGGCCCTTCTGGTTGTGGGAGAAATTTTCTTGATAATGAGGTTGTTCTTGATAAACCAGGGGTCTGATTGTTCACCGTAGTAAGGGGGTTGGTACTAGAACCCGAATCCATAGTCTTCTCCTCTTTGATTTCTCCAGGGGGTCTCGGGGTAATACCACTCGGACGGCGGTGGATACCCCCAATGGTTGGAGAAGCCATGAGGATCCATGATTCAGATCTGCACCAACAAAAACAAAAACACCCAAGTGAAAAGCAAGGGTGGAAAAGAAAAGAAAAACGCTAAAGTAACAAACTTCTGCCTTTCTTAATAATCTAGAAAGTCCCCGGCAACGGCGCCAAAAACTTGACACGCTACGACACAACACCAAACTGTGACCAAGTGTAATCGCAGTCCAGGAATGCAGTAAAGTGGCAAGTTCTAATTATCAACCCGGGGTCTAGATCTACTGCCTACTCTGTGAATATCTATTATCTAGCCAACTAAGTCGATTGATTGTGGTTATAACTAAAAGCAGTAAGAAAGCAGGAAATGGTTCGGTTTTCTGAAGCAAAGGAAGAGTCACTCGGGAATGAGTCCCCCTAGCTCCTTAGTTAGGTCTCAGTTGTAATTACCCTTGGTTGATTTACTGTTGATTAAACTGTGGAAGATCCTACAGTAGCTTGGAATTTCTTAAGCTGACCAAGCCCTCTCAGTCTAACTACCCGGCAGACGACTAGTCTTCACTGGGATAGAAAGCTGAAGCAATAAGCACAGAACTCCACTACTGGAATTGGATTCCAGTACAAAGCAGTAGACTGACTAACTCTCGTATAACCAATATACTACTACCGAATGATGAAGCTCTAACAACCTAATCAGATTCTATCTATCTCAGGTTGCAGCAGAAATCAAGAAAAGCTAATCAGACTTCAATCAATTCAATGAATCATGCATCATTCGATTAAAACCAAACAATATAGCAATCCCAAGTCATTACAATCATGATCCCTAACACATGGAACTAGGGTTCTTCATACCCAAGTGAGAGAGGGTTCTACTCCATAGAGAGAGAGAGGAAAACAGAATACAAAGCATTCATACTCATAACAATGGGAAGAATCTGCTAGGGTGTGTTCTTCACACTTTCTCTCTCTAGGGCTCTGTTTTTGCTCTCAAAAGTCGATTCCCTCACTTGTGGCTCGAAATTCCGTTAAAACCCAGAATTCCCGACTCACGCGGGCAGGCCACACGGTCGTGTGGCTTACCCAGCTGCCCGTGTGAGTGTCAAAACGCAGAGTTTCGATTAAGTGGACTTCAGGCTACCTACACGGCGAGGGACACACGGCCGTGTGGAATCTCCAGGATACCTGTGTGAAGGCTCGGTAAATACCACTCGGCCACATGGGTTCCTTACACGACCGTGTGGGTTTTAGGAGTGCCCGTGTGGCTTCCTCAGCGTCTCGCCACACGTCCGATCTTTGTCCAATCGACCCCGAACTCGCTCCCAAACCTCATTCACGTACTAGGACCTGAAATATCACAAACAAGAACAACCTAGCGTGAAATCAGCCTAAAACACGAGAATCAACTTCTCAAATGGTGTAAGATTAGGAGTAAAAACATGTGCAATTAACGGTCTATCATAATGCAGAGGGAGATCTATATCGATGAAAATCGACGATGAAACGTCGTTGTGGGGTGCACCACTCAGAGAGACGTTGGGAAGACCTGCAACGCGGGTGGCCAGAAAAGTGGAACCTTACTTGGTGGTTCTTAAGGTGCCGAATGAGAAGACGAGGAAGGGTCCTACGCGATGACCTGGTCCATGTGATTGACGGTGACATAAGTTGAGGCAACAAGCCATTGAGTGGGTCTGCCTAAGATGAGAATCTCATGGGAAGCGAAGCGATTCTCGGCTGCTTCCTTTGTGGCAATGTCATCCAGGAAGATGGAAGAGGAGACATCGAAATTGGCGGATGTGTTAAGCATATGTGTTAATAGGCTACGGTTTATGTGAGATATAGGAGAGTTTATATGTGTGGTGCCTATTTATTAAGCCCACATGTAAATAATGTAGGCCCATGCACGGTTAGACGTGGAATGTTGATTCTAACCTAGGGCACGTTGGATGTAAAGAGAGATGAGAGAGATCGACCGCTATACTTCCCCACTTTCACACATCTCAGTATAATCAATAGCCTGAAGAGCTTCAAAGCTCTTCCGTGGATTAGTGCTAGATAATATCTAGTGATACCACGTAAAATAGTGTTTGTGTTTGATTACCTTTTCGTATCATTATCAATCTGTTTATGTTAACAGGATGGACCAGCCGGATAATGAGACCAAGAAAAAGACGATGTCATCGGCGGATGAAGTAGAGTGGACAGAGTATTGTTAGACAGCACAAAGCATCACAATAGATTATTGTCGGGCCAAATGAGTTAGGTAGAAGGTTTGGTTGAGCCGAGAGGAGTGGATTGGTTGGTGGAGGAAGGGGGAAGAAGACTCGGCCATAGAATGGGAATGAAAAAAGAGGTCGCTAAGCTCAACTCAGATAAAATGGATAGGCTGCACAAACCGCACTATGTCAGGGAACGGGCCGAGTTAGGGTCAGGTCTTGGACCGAAGCTCGAGCTGAAATGGGTTGAGCAAGCACCTAAGTACGGGTCGAAGACAGAGATGGGGAGCGAGCCAAGTTTGCAAGGAAAGTGGGCCAAGCTAAGACCTTAACTTGGGCCTTAGAGATAAATGGGCCAGCGGATTCAAAGAGGAAGATGGCTCGAATACAGAGAGTTGGTTATCTTCCTTTTGTATTTATTGAGCTCAATGGTTTGGGAAGAAATTAAGCATGCAAGAAAAGTAGGGAAATGGGTAAAGTCGGTTAACCTTGAGAGCAAAGTTGGTCTCAAGGGGGAGGAGATGTTAGAAGCACGATATTTTTATTATCATTATTATCATTTCTAGGTTATTTATAAATAAGGTTAGTAGTCTTTTAGTTGAATTAGGTTTATTATTAGATTTTCCTATCTTTTGCTATAAATATATACTTGGGTCTTCAGTTATAATGAATCAAGAAAATTATTAAAGAAAGTATCTTAAACCCTAAGCTCTCTCTATCCTCTCAATTCTCGATCTCGGCCGATTTTTAATTCTCTCTTGTTCTTCCCCAAATATTTTCCTAATCCTCAATTATGTCTTCCCTCAATCCTACATTCCCAATTCTTTCCCATAATACCTAGTTTCCCAAACACCAATCTTGATCTGAAAACCCATTAGGAACTGTATTTCTAACACTTAGCCATAATAAACTATAGCAAAACAATGACGACAACCAATTTACGTGATATCCCTAAATAACCAAGAGTAATACATGGGAGAGTTTGAACACTCTTCGAGGTACTAATCGTATTACTTAATGAATCCCACACACCCTACTCGGCCACATATATACATACACAAACCCTAGCTTTCACCCTCCAGCCCACGTATGCATTGCCTTCGTCGTGGCCTCGTGGGCCTTAAGTCTACTAATTACAACGTATATATACAACATGGGGTTCATACTTCATATAAGATGGCATACTAGGTGGACTACCAGTAATATAATAATCTCTCGATCGTATAAGCCAAGATCTCCTTATATCCAAAAAAAATTTTGGAGGCAACACAGGGGCTCACCCAGAGGGTTTGTACACCCCTAAATTTTGGAAAAACGATTAACCAACCTTCGGTGGTAATTTACGTATGGACAAAAAAAATATAATTAATAGTCCGGGACACCCTGAAATTAAAAAAAAACGATTATCCTACTCTCGTTTGTAGTTTACGTATGAGAATATAAGTGGTAGTTTGGATAATTCAAACCCGGGACACTACTATTATTAATAAATATAATTTTCATTAGGCTACAACTCTTTTGTTGTTCTATTCTAAACACTTTGTAATAGCAAAATCCTATTCTCTATCTTTAATTATTTTCAAAACCTAACAATTAATCTAATTACAAGCTACTCTTAATTTGTAATGATTTTATGGTTGTACGACAAGTGCTGGAAGTGTCTTTTCAGTTTTGAGTTACTTCAAGAACAAATTTAGAGGTCGAATATGTGTCAGTTCGTGAATAAGCAGTGTAGACACCAAGTGTATTTTACAAATTTTTTCAGAATATGAAAATACATCATAGACTTTTTTTTAACTTGTACGAGTTGTATATTTTCTTAATTAATTATTGTTTTTATTTTTTAATTTATTTTTTTAAAAAGGACACCCCTACATAAAATTTCTGGATCCGCTACTGAGCAAGCATGTAGCATGAAATTCAATCCTGTAAAACTGTCCACGAATTGCATATCCCGGGGCCCGATCAATACAGCTATGCCATATTGCCATTCCAAAGCATTGATCGCAAATTCTAAACTGATTCATTCTTTATTTACATGAAGTCATTGTTTCCCGTTGGAATTATGTGAGTGATTGAAAGCCCAATTGTCTGCAATTGTTATCATCATACGTCTCGTTGAACCTTTTGTTGTGTTCACTTGTGACTTGTGAGCACCCCCAACCGAACTGCACATTAGACAAATGTATAAGGTATTATCATTCTGACAAAGAATCTAACTAATAGAAATAGTGGAGCTGAACACACAAAAATTTTTAAGGTGGTATCGTCAATTCGACACAGCCCACGGAGAGGATCTCCCTCTCAGGTTTTAGGTTTCTTATTCGTTAAATCATCACCGTACAGTTTGGCACATATATATAGGGTTGACATAACAAACCCTAGTTGTCTATTTACAAAACAGTCCTTATATTTAACACCCTCTCTCAAATTGATGTTGGGTTCTTAACATCAATTTGCAAGAGAGATACCAATGCCTGCTCGATGCGACTGCTTTTGTTAATAGATCTGCTGTCTGATCTTCAGTTCGCAGATACCGCAACTGAACAATCCCTTCTCCTACCAGCTACCTGATATAATGCACATGAACTTCTATATGCTTGATTCGATCGTGCAGAACAGGATTAAGTGCTATTTGCATTGCACTCGTGTTGTCCTCGTTGATCACCGTAGGAGCTCGACATTCAACCCCAAAATCTTGAAACAGACGTCGTGACCATACCATTTCAGAGCTGACTTCTGACATGGACCTGTACTCTGCTTTTGTAGAAGATTTTGATACTTTATCTTGCTTGCGACACCTCCATGAGACAAAAGAATGTCAAAATCGAATGCACCAACCTGACGTGGATCTTCTTGTGTCTTGACACCCGGCATAGTCTGCGTCTGCAAAGGCTTCAATAACTAGTTCGCCGCCAACAGGGAAGAATAGGCCAACCTCCCTTGTGCCCTTTAGATAACGTAAGAGACGATTAACCGCATCCAGGTGTGAGGTTCGAGCCACACCAACAAACTGACTGATAACCTGTACTACATATGATATATCTGGCATCGTATGGGTTAGGTAGATAAGGCTTCCCACAACACTTCGGTAAAAGGATTGATCCACCAAAAGGTCTCCTCTCTCTCTACTGAGCTTCAAATTCTATTCCATAGGAGTAGCGCATGGCTTACAGTCTGTCATCTGAGTCGATTCTAACAAATCTGTAATATATTTCTTTTGACAAACAAATAAACCATTCTTTTAGCGATGAACCTCCAATCCTAGAAAATATGAGACATTTCCAAGTTCCTTGAGATTGAATGCCTGATGCAGTGACTCTGTCAACTCCTTAATGCCATCTTGATCATTCCCGGTAATGATCATATCATCTACGTACAACAAAAGAGCTACTACTCCTTATATAGTGTGCCGAACAAATAGTGAGGGATCATTCTCACTCTGATGGAAACCAGCCTGCAGAATTGTCCCGTGAAATTTTTCAAACCAGGCTCGTGGAGCATGTTTTAATCCATATAGTGATCGGTTTAGCTTGCATACCATGTCTAGTCCGCCCTTCTCATATCCAGGTGGCCTTTCCATATATATCGTTTCTTTTAGATCGCAGTGTAGAAATGCATTCTTCACATCGAGTTGAATAAGGGGCCACTCTTTCATTGCTGCGACTGCAAAAAGACTCTGTAATGTTTGCATCTTAGCTGCAGGAGCAAAAGTCTCCTCATAGTCGATACCAAATTCTTGTCGAAAGCCTTGAGCAACAACCCGTGCCTTGAAACGTTCTATCGTACCATCTGGATTCATTTTTATAGCATAGACCCATCGTGAGCCAATAACAGACATTCCTAGTTGTTGTGGAACTAAATCCCACGTTTTGTTTGCCTCCAAAGCACATGTTTCATCCTTCATTGCTCTATCCCATCTCTCATCTCCCTTAGCGAAACGATAGTGGGACGGTATAGGAATTGGTTCAGTTGAATAACCCACATAATCAAGAAGCTTAACAGGAGGTGCACCTTTGTTAACCCGGTCTGATCTTCGTGGCAATGGTGGTGGAGTGGGTGTATGCTCGAACTCTTCATCCAACATGACACCTTCACCGCTACCATCAAATCCTAAGCTTGAACTAGAGCTCTAAGACTGTGTAAGGGAAGCCGCAGTTGAAGATGCAGCCGAATTGTGAGAAGTAGCTGACGAAGATGAAGCTGTCGCATCCAAACTGAGGGAAGACGTAGCAGAAGGCTCAACCGAAGGTGTACGAGGCGGAGAATTGTCCAAGCTGTCCTCACTCTCACTTCCCTCTGGTCCCCCACCAGGACGATCAGCTGCTGCCGAAGGTGGAGAGTCCGCCGAAAACAATGAGGCCAAGGGAGCAAGAAACTCATAGGGCTGCTGAGGAGATTCCTCAGACCGAGGATAATACATGATTTGCTCAAGGAATACCACATGACATGATATGCCCATACGACGCTGTTGGGGATCATAGCAAAGATAGCCCTTGTGCGCAGCACTATAGCCCATGAAAACACATCTAGCTGTCTTGGGTGCAAGTTTCTGACGTTCCTTCTTTGGTAAGAGAACAAAACATACGCAGCCAAAGACACGGAGAGAGGAGTAGTGTGGGGATTTATGATAAAGTGCCTGATAGGGGGAGCGATTCTCAGGTACGGGAGTAACCTAACGATTAATCAGATAAACTACTGTCTTGACTGCTTCAGTCCAAAAAACACTCGGAACTTGTGAGTGGAAAAGTATGGCCCGAGTAAGCTCCAGATCGTGTCGATTTTTCCTTTCAACTACTTTGTTCTGCTGTGAAACACAAGGACATGACTGTTGAATCAAAATTCACTGCGAGGCACAGAAGGCAGTGAGAGGTTTGGAGGTGAATTCACCACCCGGATCTGACCGGATAATCTTGATTGTCGTGTGAAATTGAGTATGGATCATGAGAATAAACTCCTTAGCACTATCTATGAGCTCCGATTTCTGTATAAGGAAATAAATCCATGTAAACCGTGTAGTGTGATCAATAAATAGAGCAAAGTATCGATAACCAAGACGTGAAGTAATCGGTGATGGCCCCCACAAATCCGTATGAACTAAATCAAACATATTTTCATATACTGTGTCGCTAGAAGTAAAAGAACTTTGGGTGGTCTTGGCTTCAATACAATGAACACACACAGTAGGAGAATGAAACTCGGAATTTAGCTGTGCTGGCAATAACTTATTCCGAAACATATGCCATAGTCTACCCGAATGAGGATGACCCAAACGTTTGTGCCATAAATCCCAAACTGTACTGTGAACAGAAAAATCAACTTCACTAGGTTTCACAGAATAGCCTAATAAGGAATTCAATCCCAAATTACAAGAATCTAAATTGTTTGTCTTATTGCCAAAGAATGACTTGGTCGCACCAACCAAGTTCCCAGCTAGTGAACCTTCTTGACTGCGGCCCTTGACTGTATTCGTACTCTTCCCATCATCTTCTCGTAACTCGTCAAGAACAAAGACTCTCCCTTGCTTATGACCTTTCCTGATCACCATCCCGGTTTTCGGATCATGCACAACGCATCCATTAGAATCAAAGATCACATTCAATCCTTTTTCTGCAAGCTGTCCAACAGAAACCAAGCTCGGAACAAGCTGAGGAACATATAGAGTATTAGAGAGTGTTATTCCACCTGATACCGCAGTACCTGAACCCTGAACAGGAAGTTGTGCACCATTTGCTGCTTGTAATCTCATCGATGGTGCAGGTTGTAACGAAACAAATTTATTCTGAACACTAGACATATGATTAAAAGCTGCGGAATCCAATAACCAGCGAGGAGAGTTACCTGAAGAGCCCCCGGCGGAGAAGGCTGAGTTCAAGGCCCCAGGAAGAGCATCATGCAATGCTTCTTGAACAAGACGCCTGATGACATCCGTTGAAATTGGCACTACTGTCCCGGATGTACCAGTACCAGCTGAAGGCACCCTAGAAGAAGAAGTCTCAACAACAGCATAGCTTGATCCTCCAGAGGATACCCCAGCCAAAGCATTACAAGCAGCAGATCCCGGACGAATACCACCACGTTTCGCAAGAGTTTTGCAGTCTAAGATTATATGTACATTGCGTTTGCAGTAAATGCACACGTTCTTCTTAATGCAATGAGGCTGAATATGTCCAACCTCATGACAGAAATGAAAGGTGAGCGTACTCGTACCTTGACGTTGGAATTGAGGACGAGCTGAAGTGCCCTTTCCAACCGCAAAGGCCGACTCACTTTGCGGCAGCTGGTTGTCGATTTGCGCCTGGCTCTTCAAGCGCGTTTCCTCTCGCATCAGTTCGCCAAGAACGTCATCAAATCCCGTAACACCGCAATGGATCAAAGAGGCACGAACATCCTCAAACTCAGGCCGTAGCTTCATAATAAACTGCATCAATCGGGAACGGGATCGTTCCTTCAGGACTTCAGCCATAGTTGCCTCCGGAGCCAAGGAAGCCATGAGTAAATCATACTCAGTCCATAAATGAATGCATTCCTGATAATAACTTCGAATATCTCTGTCCCCTTGCACCATGCGAGTATAGCTAATTCTAAGTCAAATTGGCGAGAAGTATTAGTTTGTGCATATGTAGCACAAATGTGCCGCCACATCTCGGACGCTGTTGAATATTGTCGGAGTCCTAACAAAGTGGGTATATCCACTTTACCAGCCAACCACGAGATAATGTGGGCATTTTCGGCATCCCAGTCTGCCTTGTCTTTCTCCGGAGCATCATTGGCAGGTTTCTTCCGAGTTCCCAATAGAATCGGCATCAGTCTCTTTCCCTCGATAAAGTTACGGAATTGAAATTCCCACAACGCAAAGTTCTTTCCATCAAACTTAAAAGCCACAAAGTTCCCTGGATCCATATTTCTAGCCGAACAAAGGAGAAGAATGAAGATAATTACTCTATCACCGGCAAAACTAAGTCTCAGCAGTTGATGATAAGAAAACACCCAGATGAAGTCGAGAGCCACGGGAATACCTCAAGAAATAATAGGAGGCCAAGAATAAAACCAAGGCCTCAAGCACCATTATTTGTATTGGCGAAGTAAAACAAATATAGAAGATTCCAAGGCTACGTGAAGACCCACTGCAGAATAATCTCACAATCCAAACCTAATTGAACGATGGAACAAGAAGCAACTGCCGTAGTAATAACCTGACGAAATACGACCAAATCAAGGTCTCAGATCGTAGGCTCTGATACCATGACAAAGAATCTAACTAATAGAAATAGTGGAGTTGAACACACAAAAAATTTTGACGTGGTATCGTCAATGTGACACTAGTCCACGGAGAGGATCTCCCTCTCAGGTTTTAGGTTTCTTATTCGTTAAATCATCACTGTACAGTTCGGCACATATATATAGGGTTTACATAACAAACCCTAGTTGTCTATTTATAAAACAGTCCTTATATTAAACACATTCAAGCTCAGGGGTGGGGATGACAGAGAAAAGAATCCAGACAAATTAAATGGTTTGCCAACAAAAAGGAACCCTCCTTTTTCTCTTATTTCCCCCTCTAAGACAACCATACATGATGTCTTTGCATATGCGCATATATTGTTTTCATATAAAACTGCCATTGATATAAAGGTGAATATGAATGGCTTAAGGTGGGTGGAGTGGAATGCTGGGCAGTGGCCATGGCCACCTTCACGATTCTCGATCTTCACCAATATGCCCACATATAAGAGCAGGAAAAACTATCCACATCAATATGTGTTTGTTGGGATATTATATGTTAAATTTTCATATAGCTAGTTTAGTTGTGTATCAACCTCCATGATTACTTTGCTTAGGTATGAGCGAATTTCATACCGAATTTTCACTTTTATGGAGAAAAAACTATATTGACTAACCAGAAATATTAATTTCACGTATTAATCAACTTGCCTCTTTATACCGAATAAAGGTTAATAAACCCACTCTTTGGTTACTTGCTCCGCCAAATCTGCATTACTATGTGAGCTTATATGAGCTTAATTAATTGATATTCCGATAGACGATACTCATTTGCTTAAAATGTTGTACTGTTGTAGCTCATTTCCAGTTGCTCCGAGATTTAGGTCGAAACCTAATTAGATTACCTCCTTGCTGGACCGTGATTAGTTTTTCATGAAAGGATCAAGAATCCTTGTTAAACGAAGAGCCCCAAATCTCTAAACAGACTTTCCAATACTCACACATCTCTTTTTATCAATATTTTACCCCCACAATGTACGTAGTTAAACTATATAGATATTTAGGTCGAACCCTAATTGAATTACAAATTCATAATTAATGTTCTCCCGATTCAAGGTATTGATATTAAGCGATTTATGCAGACCATAATTAGCTTTGGTCGTGGATACGGAAGACATGGCGGAGGGGATTTGTGAGGCAGTTCTGAGGTTGGGACTAGTGGCACATCTTGTGGCAAGCAAGAAGCCGAGTGTTAGAGCTCTTCAAGGCGTTCTGGAGAAGGTGTGGCACACTATCAAACCTTTTGATATTCGAGACATAGGGGGCTAACTGTTTGCTTTTCAATTCGCTCACAATGATGATAGAAACAAAGCCCTTCATGGAGGTCCCTGGCATTGTGACAACAATCTGTTAATTTTCGAGCAAGCTGATCTAAATAGAAAACCAGTGGCGGAAGAAATGAAGGAGATGGAAGTTTGGATACAGATCTCGTTCATACCTGCTGAGATGAAGTCAAGGAAGATGGCTGAGAAGGTGGCACCAAGATTTGGACGCTATCTGTTGTTTGACGAGAAACACTCCGACCCTTGGAGCGATATAATGCGGATCCGAGTGGCTAAAGATATCACGACTCCTTTGAGGGATGACCTGAACCTGTGCATAAGAGGAGAAATAAGAAGTTTTGAGGTTAAATATGAACGTCTGCCCATGTTTTGTTATAAGTGTGGTAGGATTGGGCATCCCAAATTGTACTGCCCGGAGAAGTTGGAGGTTTTTAAGGACCGCTATGGTCCCTGGCTTAGGGCAAGCCCTCCCCCCTCAAAGCCAAGGATAAACAAAGTGGAACAGGGAGAAGAGTGAGATGATGTGGAGATCCATTAAAGAACAATACTATCGAGGTGACTTCAAGCACTTGGTAACTGAAGAGGGAAGGAAGAATGCACCAGCTGAGACAGAGCACAATGGGGGGTTGATGGAAGTTAGGGAAGGACAGGTTGTCCTAACGGAATCTCGGGAACCTGGAGGTGAAGTGGATATGAGAATGTTCGAAAAGAAGGCTCATGAGGAAGAAATGGAGGAGCAAGCAAGGGAGAAGGCGTTGGCTGCTATACTAGAGAAGAATACTACCTTCAGCACGGGGTCAGGGGATATAGGGAAGGTTAACATGGAGAGAAAAGGACGATGGACGAGGCTGTCACAAGCTAGGAGCAAATCTACCAAAGTAAATATAGAGCAAGTCACGCCCCAAAAGAGACCGGCCAAGGAGGTTCAAACGGAAGTAGAAGGTATTGGGGGTGTTAAGAGAGCTCTGGTGACACAGGAAAGCGACCTGAGGCTATGTGAGATGAATCAAGTTGGACAAACAGTGGAGAGTAACAAAGAGCAACAAACACAAATACAAATGGTTGGCGATTTGGCGGACTCTGGCAAGGACCAGAGCCGCCTAGCCCAATGAATATCCTGTGTTACAATTGCCGGGGTTTGGGGAATCCCCTGGCAATTAGGAAGGTGGGGCAGCTGCTCCGTCGTCAAAACCCCGATATTGTCTTCTTGATGGAGACAAAAAAACAGAGTCATGAATGGGAAGCAATGATGAAGGAGTTGGGATGGGAAAAAGGAAGAGGAGTGGGATCCATAGGGCGAAAGGGAGGTTTGATAATGATGTGGAGGCAGGACTTGGATGTAGTGGTTAAGTCAAAATCGACAAATCATATTGACGTGTGCATATTAGAAGGACAGCTTCAATGGAGGTTTACTGGAGTTTATGGGTGGCCTGAGCGGGACAACAAACATTGTACGGGAGAGCTTCTAAAACAACTTAAGGATATGGTGGACATCCCTTGGTTAATGGGTGGGGATTTTAACTTAATTCAGGGATATGAAGAAAAGAATGGTCTGACTCTCCGAGATGTGAACGAGATGGAAATGTTTAATGAATCTTTGGATTACTATGGACTGGAGGACCTAGGCTACTATGGGAAGCCATTTACGTGGGACAATAACCACTCAGATGAGACTTTCCTTGAGGAGAGACTCGACAGGATGGTTGCAAATGCAGATTGGAAGGCACTGTTCCCTCATGCAAGGGTCCACCATATAAGAAGATGTGGATCGGATCACTCTCCCATTTTTCTTAAGACAAAATTGGTGGATGATGAAGTGAGATGGGGATGGAGTTTCAGATTTGAAGCCTTCTGGCAGTCTCATGAGCAATGTAGACAGGTGATTGAGGAAAGTTGGAGTGAAGCTGCTAGTGTTTCGTTGTTGGAAAAAATTGGTTACTGGGGGGAGAGGTTGCAAGGCTGGAGTAGGGAGACCTTTGGAGATCTGAAGTTCAGATGAATTAAGGCAGAGAGAGCCCTTGAGAAGCTAGAGAAAAAGCGAATGAATGCTGCTACAGTTGTTCAAAGAAGAGCTCTGGAGAAAGAACTCAATGAAATTATGTCCCAAGAAGAGATGATGTGGAAACAACGCTCTAGGGCGGATTGGTTGAAGGGAGGAGATAAGAACTCTAAGTTCTTTCACAGGAAAGCGTCCGATCGAAGAAACAGAAACACTATTCGAAAACTGAGGGCGGATGATGGAAGTTTCAAAGAAGGACAACAGGAAGTGGCAGATTGTTTGACTAACTATTTTAAGTTTATTTTTACTGCAGGTCAATCTGGCGTTTCAAGACAGGTTTTGGATGCTGTCCCTCAGAAGGTTACTCAGGAGATGAACGATTCTTTACTAAAGCCTATTGAGGCTGAGGAAGTTTGGGGGGCACTAAAGAAGATGGGGCCTTTTAAGGCTCCTGGAGTGGATGGAATGCCAGCAATGTTTTTTCAAAAGAATTGGGACATTGTTGGGGAGGATGTGGTACGAGAAGTGCAGGGATTTATGGAGACTGGGGAGCTGCCACAATCGATCAACCATACACTGATAGCTCTAATACCCAAAAAGAAAGAGCCTGAAACTGTTGCTGATTTTCGTCCTATCAGTTTGTGTAGGGTTCTCTACAAGATCTACTCGAAGGTACTGGCCAATAGACTTAAGAGCTTATTAAATGATATTATCTCAGAATTCCAGAGTGCCTTTGTTCCAGGCAGATTAATCACAGATAACGTGATGGTAGCTTTTGAATGTTTTCACTCTATGAGAGGAAGAACTAAAGGGAAAAAGGGTTTTATGTTAGCAAAGTTGGACATTGCAAAAGCCTAAGACAGGGTGGAATGGCAGTTCCTAGAAGAGATTATGAGGAAGTTAGGGTTTGCGGAAAGATGGATTGCTCTAATAATGAGATGTGTTACAACAGTTTCCTACTCTCTCCTTGTGAATGGTCACCAGAATGAAACTTTCTACCCTACACGAGGACTACGACAAGGTGATCCAATTTACCCCTATCTGTTCTTATTCATTGCTGAGGGGCTTTCATGTTTGATTCAGAAGGCAGAAAGGGAAAAGAAGGTTGAAGGTATAAAGGTTAAAGGGGGTGCTCCAGCTATCACACACCTGTTGTTTGCAGATGATAGTGTGCTGTTTACTATAGCAAACAGACAAGAGTGTGAAAACTTAAGAGGCCTACTCGCCACTTATGAACAGGAGACAGGACAGAAGGTCAATCTAACGAAGTCAGAGATTGCTTTTAGCCCAAATGTCAGGCAAGAAGTCAGGGATGAGCTGGGACAACTCCTAGGAATGAGGGTGGTAGATCAACACTCCAAATACCTAGGTTTGCCTACTGTTATTGGACGTCAGAAGAAGGCTGTGTTTAGCTACCTAGTGGATCGAGTAAGGAAGAAGGTCAAACTCTGGAAGAGCAATTTACTGTCGTATGGAGGAAAGGAAGTTTTGATCAAGGCTGTTGCCCAAGCTCAGGCAACTTATGCTACGCAGGTGTTTCTTGTCCCACTTAATGTAATTCATGAAATACAGAGCCTACTATCCAATTTTTGGTGGGGACAGAAGAATAGTGAGTTCAGGACACATAGGATAAGCTGGGATAAACTATGCACTAGGAAAGCTAAAGGTGGAATGGGGTTTCGAAGTCTTCATGAGTTCAACCTAGATTTGTTAGGGAAACAGTTTTGGAACTTGCTTCAGCACCCAAATTCCTTGGTGGCTAGAGTTATGAAAGCAAAATACTATCCTTCTAGACCTATCCTAGAAGCAGAATTGGGGTATAACCCGAGCTATGTCTGGAGGAGTCTGCTGGCAGCCCAGCGAGTTGTGAAGGAAGGGGTGAGGTGGAGGATAGGAGATGGTCGAAAAGTGGATATCTGGCAAGATAGGTGGGGTCCCTCAGCTGAAAATATCAAAGTAAGCTCCCCAGTGACTTTGATAGGGGAAACTACTTCAGTAAGTGAACTCCTAGATGTGAATACTCGCAGTTGGAATCAGGATTTACTACACACACACTTTAGCCATCAAGATATGTTGCATATTCTTAAAATCCCCATACCAAGACAACCATGTGAAGATCGCTTAGTGTGGAGATTGGAAAAAAGGGGTGCTTATACTGTGAAAATAGCCTACCATTTTTGGAGAAACAGGGAGGAAGAGACTGTGGGAGAACTTTACACACCCATTGATTGGGATCGATACTGGGGATTAAGAGTACCACCCAAAGTCAAGGTGTTTGGGTGGAAATGGATTAGAAATATTCTCCCTACAGGGGCAAATGTGATGGGCAGGATTATGAGAGGATGTGATGAATGCCCTTTTTGCGGCCAAAGGAAAACTCAACACCATATTTTCCTAGACTACGGGTGGGTTCGAAGAGTCTGGCGTCCTAGTCCCCTAAGTACTATGTTCGAGAAGGGAGAGGATCTTACCTGCGAAAATTGGATGGTGCGACTTCAGGAGGAGGAAAATGATGCGGAGATTGGGAAATTCCTCGTAGTGCTGTGGTTCATATGGGAGGAGAGGAACAATCAGCTCTGGAACAAAACGAAGCTTGAAGAAGGCGAAATTTTGGTGAGAGCGAGCAGATGGCTGGAGGAGTACCTGGAACATCAGGAGGAGAGGATGGTCCCTTCGATGCAGAGAGTTCACCGATGGAGGCCCCCAGAAACCACCGATTTCAAGATCAATGTGGACGCGGCCTGTTTGGAGGGAGGAGGATCGGGTCTGGGAATGGTGATTCGAAATCGGCAAGGTTTGTTCTGCTTCGCTGCCATGAGGAGGGTTCGGGACTCCTGGACTCCCGAGTTCGCCGAGCTACAAGCTATTGCTTTCGGCCTGGAAATGGCGGAGCAACAACATCTTCTACCGGGAATGATCGAGTCAGATTGCCAGACGGCGATCCACGTGATAAGGAGAGAAGAAAGATCGCTGGTGGAGGAAGGAGATCTGGTCGATGAGGTCAAGGAAATGATAGATAGGGTTGGCTCGGTCTCGGTCCATTTCTCGGGTCGGACCAGTAACCAGGTTGCCCATATTTTTGCTCATAGCATTTGTGGTTGGGGTGAAACCGAATCTTGGGTCGGTCAACCCCCTGATTTTATTTCATCACAACTTGAATCTGATTCCTGTACTATTTCGTTATAAATGAAATAATACAGGTGGTTTATAAATAAAAAAAATTAAGAATCATGGTTGAACTAGGAAACCACCAAAACTTCCGAATCGGCTCCAAATACTCACTCACACAACTCTCCTTGTAAATATTTTCCACCAGCACTGTAGTTAAACTATACAACCCAACTGCAATGAGCAAGTTAGTTAATTAATTAGATAAACAACCAAGGTATAAGCATGTTAGTTACATACTCGCTTTAGTACTTATCTAGAAGTTCTCTAGCTAGCCAAATGATCATCTAATTGGATAATGTCTCTCTCTCTCATTCATCTTACAGAACACATTATAAGTTAATATTGCCTCTGTCTCAGCAGGATCGAACTCAAAACTTATGGGTAGGGGTGTTCAAACGGCGTGGTAATCATGGTAACCATTTTAACCAGTAGTATTTGGCTAATTTGGTTTGGTTAATTTCGATAATTGGTTTGGTTAATAAATTTAGTTTGTTTGGTTTAGGTGGTTTGGTTTGGTTTCAGACACTCCTAACCAATCAAACCAAATTAACCAGTTAAGTAATTTGTCATATATCTAATATATATTGTATACACATACTTAATACTTTGCATAACTACTCAAGAATCAAATATAAGATAATTGTATTTGTTACATGTATTTACGTTAAGGGTTAACTACAATTATGTGGATTGTTATGTGTTGTTGATTATATAAATTGCGAATTGATGCACTAACTGAAAATTTTTCTCATTTAATGATAATGTGGTGTTATATTGGTTATTTTGGTTAACCAATTAACCAAACCGAATAAACTTTAGTTTGGTTAATTTGATTGTTGTATTAGTTTGAACGGTTTGGTTATGATATTGTTATTCCATGGTTAATAGAATTTAGACTTATTTAGTTTGGTTATTACCACGGTAACCATTTGAACACCCCTA